GTACGCTTGGCTTTGTGATGGGATAAGTGTCAAGGCCATGAAGCTAGTGCTGAGATGATAGGATGGCGGTGGGAGGGGGACGGAAAGCGATGAGACTGATCAGGAAAGAGGGGTACAATGGAGTAAGATGTAGAGATAGAGGGACGAGGTGGGTAAGAAGGAGATGTGTGGAGGAGACATGAAGGGCGGGAGGGAATGGTAGATAGCGGAGGAGGAGGCTGTCTTATCTGACCTTGAATTGGGCCGTTCAAGGCCATGGGATGTCACGGGGGGGAGAGAAATTTTGATGCGCCTGTGAGGAAGTCAAGTCAAGCAGAAGGACAGTGATGATGAGGGCGTGGGTTTTGAGGTGGGAGGGAGGCAGCAGACGAGGAGAGGGAGGAAATGTGGGTGAGGAAAGGCAAGCGAAGGTAAAGGAAGCACAGGAGGATAGACAGGCACGAGGAAGAGGCAGAGGCAGAGGAAAGGGTAGGCAGGGAGCGGGCAGCAGCAGCAGGAAGAAGAGAGGGGGGGGGGCGGCGGCGGCGGCGGCAGCAGCAGCAGCAGCAGCTACCTGTTCACATCATCCACACTGGGCTGATAGGACGTGGACCCTTGGCTGGCAACAAGTCCATGTCAACATGGTTCACAAGATGCATCTGAGGCCCCACCTGAACTCGATGGCTTCAAAGTCCTCCTCCTTCTCCCCGCACCCTTCCTTCCCATCCACCTCCCTGAACCAGCGGATCCTCGTCGTACCTTCTCGTCCTCCCTGCTCAGTAACGCGGTCACTTTCCTCAAACTCTCCCCATGTATCAGCTCCGCCTCCATCACCTCCTCCTTTCCCCCTTCCCCATCTCTCCCACCTCTCCCCCCTCTCCCACCCCTCCTCCTCCTCGTTCCCCTCCTCCTCCTCCTCCTCCTCCTCTCGTCTCCTCCTCACCTCGTACACGTAGGTGATCTGAATCGGCTCGACGTACTGCTGCCACTTGTTCATGCTCAACTCCCAGCTCACGATCTTCGGCTCCCCATCGCCCTGCTCGACCTCCCTTCTCCCTCCTCCCTCCTCCTCCTCCTCCTCTGGCTGCTGCTGCTCCTCCTCCTCCTCCCTTGAGGAAGGAGCCACAGTGCTGGAAGTGACAGCGGAGACCACGACTCCCTGCTCGCCCGTCTCCTTCACAACTGGTGACGTCACTACCTTGAGACGATGCTCCGCGTCCTCCTCCACCACCACGTAGGACGCCTTGGTCTGTCCTGCCAGCAGTGTCTCCCCACCATCTGCCCGCACGCGGTACCACTGGAACGAGCACACCAGGTTCACTTTCCTCGCCCTCTTCGCGAACGCGACGATCTTGCTGCCTACCTTGAGCTCTCCTCTAACCTCGCAGTTGGTGAGCAGCACGGGCTGCCCATCCTCCTCCAGCTTCTCCTTCCTCTTCTTCTTCTTCCCTGACTTTCGCACAACGTCCTCCTCCTCCTCTTCCTCCTCTTCCTGGCCTCCATTCACTTTGTCTGTCTGTTTGTCCAAGTCCGAGAAGAAAGTGTTCAGCTGGGGGACAGATCGATCCAAGTCGCGCTCTTCCCCCCCTCCAGCTCTCCTGTCCCTCCCACCGCTGCTGACTAGATCGTCGGTAGGACGCTGTTGCCATCCTCCTCCTTCGTACGCCAAGGACTTGAGGCTCATCGGTCTCGCTGACTCTTCCTGGATGTGTCTCTCCTCCTCTTCTTCTCTCCGCTGAGCCTTCTCTACCCGAGCCCTTCTCGCCCTCTCCTTCTCTACCCGAGCCCTTCTCGCCCTCTCCTCCTCCTCCCGAGCCCTTCTCGCCCTCTCCTCCTCCTCCCGAGCCCTTCTCGCCCTCTCCTCCTCCTCCCGAGCCCTTCTCGCCCTCTCCTCCTCCTCCTCCTCCTCCTCCCGAGCCCTTCTCGCCCTCTCCTCCTCCTCCCGAGCTTTCCTCGCCCTCTCCTCCTCCTCCTCCCGAGCCCTTCTCGCCCTCTCCTCCTCCTCCCGAGCCCTTCTCGCCCTCTCCTCCTCCTCCCGAGCTTCCTAGCCCTGTTCTCCTCCTCCGTCCCTGAGCCCTTCTCGCCCTCTACTCCTCCTCCTCCTTCCTCTACCCGAGCCCTTCTCGCCCTCTCCTCCTCCTCCCGAGCTTTCCTCGCCCTCTCCTCCTCCTCCCGAGCCCTTCTCGCCCTCTCCTCCTCCTCCCGAGCTTTCCTCGCCCTCTCCGCCTCCACTTCTCGCTGTCTGTGCGCATCATTCTCCTCTTCCCTGCGTTGTCTGTCCTCGCGATCATAGAGCATCCGCAGATGCTCCTCATCTTCCCCTCCACTCTCCTCTCCCGACCTCCATGACCCTTCCCCGTCGGACTCGCGTCCCTCGTCGACCCGCCCCTCCTTCATCTTCGCTTCCTCATTCTTTGCATGCTGGGCAAGTTGCTTCTCCACGGAACGATCATCTCCTTGCCTCGGCATCGACACCAATGCCTGCACTCCATTCTCCTCATCCTTCGACCCGCCAGCATCGAACGAGGTTTCGACCCCCAGCTCTCCATTTCGCTCTCCTCCCTTGCGGTTCGAATCGAGCTTCGCACGCAGCCTCTCCTCAATCTCTCGTCGACGAGCTTGGACTGACTTCTCTCTCCTCGGCTCTTCAATCGCCTCCAGCGGTCGCGATGACGTGGCATCTTCCCGCTTTTCCCCTTTTCTCTTCTCCGTGCCCTCCTGCTGTTTCTCATCTGAAGACGATCCAGCATTCGGTAAAGCGTTCTCAGCTTCCAGCCTCCTACCTTCATGCCGCTCCTCTTTACCACCTTCTCCTTGTCGCCTCTCAGATCCGGACCGAGGAGATGACGGCGGAGAAGGATCTCTTTCATCATGCTGCTGGCTCTTCATCGTCCGGGTTTTCTTGTCCCTTGCCTTGCTGGTCGCCTCGTCCCGCTGCTTCAGTAGGAGGACGCGGCTCCAGATCTCCATCACCGTCCTCTGCAATCCTCTTGACGTGCGAGGAGCAATCCCGTGAGTGAAGATCTTGCTGCGCAGCTTCGACTCTGCTTCCTCCTCCAGCCAAGAACTTTCTCTTGCGGCCTCCGGCTGCCTCGCTGTGGGACTCTGACTCCAGCTGAGCCTGTTCCGCTGCTTCCTCCTCCCGTCCTTCCAGTCCTCTACTGGGCTCTTCTCCACCACCAGGCAAGACTTCAGGGAGCTCTTCGAGCTTTTCAGCGACGACCATTCCTTGAGCATCGAAGACAGGCCGTCCGAACCCTCCTGCTTTCTCCTTGCTTCCACCTTTCTCTTCAGGGCCGACCCACTCCCGGGAGGAGATTCATCCTCGCGAACTCGATTCCTCTCAGGAGTTGTGAAACCGTTTCCTCGCACAAGACCTTCGTCCTCCTCTACGTCTTCCTCTACCTCGAGAGTCTTCCCTTGGCTAGGCTTCCTCCTGATGCTGTCCAACGTCTCCACCTGACTCTTCAGCTGCTCCCCCAGCTGCTCCTCCAGCATCTTGCTCTTCGACGTCAACACCTGGAGGAGACGAGCTACATTCACTCGCTTCCTCTCCCCTTGTAGGTCTTCGCTGTGAAGCGACTCGTCGTCGGACCCGGACTGGTCCAATAAACGGCTCCCGTGCAGGGAGGCAGAATGGCGACTGGGGGGCAACAAGTCTTGACTCCTTCCGAGCTTGCGAGGTTGTGAGCGAGAGGATCTCAACGATTGTCTGCTGACATCTGCCATCTCTCTTTCGTTGTCACTGTCTTCCGCTGCCCACGTCACCAGGGGAGTAGCGAACTTGCGGAAATCCCTATACTCCTCGAAGCTGAGGTCGAACTCCGCGTCAGGATTGGGTGCAGTGTCTACCAGCCATCCGTCACGTACGGCCTCCGCAGCCATCGCTCCAAGGGCCTGCGCCTTCTCTGCCTCCTCCTTCTTCACAGCCTGCCCGTCGATGTACCGAAGGCTCTTGCCAAACGCACAGATCGCCATGACGCGGTAGCAGTAGCATCTTGTGATTGGATTTCCTTGCAACCAGATGCTCTCGAGCTTCGGCTGCTCACAGACGCCGCGAAAGCTCTCGAGGAAGTTCTCTTCAGCATGCAGCTCCTCCAAGGAGGGCTGGAACTCCCAGCCCTCGAACGACGTGAGGAGGTTGTTCTGCATGTAAATCCGCTTCACCTCTGCATGCATTCCCATTCCCTTGAGCGAAGTCAGCGAGAGAGAGCGGATTGTGAACGTTCCTAGCCCCGCAAACACTGGGATCTGCCCCACAGCCTTCTCCTTGACCCCTTGCAGAATCATCCGCCTTGTCCGGTTCAGGGTTTGCGACCTGTAGGAGAAGCGGAAAAGACTCGCCACCCCCCTCCATTTTCGCCGACCGAAAGTTTTCAGCTCAGACTTGTCCTTCACCTTGATCTCAGGCCGAGAATTTTCCAGGATCTCCTCCTCGGAGAAGTTCAGCTTCTTCTCGAAAGCTCGCCTGGTGTCCACACGCTGCACGACGACGGTCAGTCAAACAGTCCAGGCATGCTCAACAATCACTCACAGCCTGAACCGCCGACCATGGCCGATGTGTTGACGATGCTCTCAACTCAAGAGCATTAGCGTCGGCCCAGTACTTGTGCGCTCCGCTGGGGGTCCATGGCTTCCTGGATTCTAGAGCCGATTTCCGCAGGCGGTCTGATTCCATGGCGAGGCGCTGGTTTACTCGTGATAGAGCGTCTGATGGACCATGCTCTACCAGTCAGAACTGCACAATGCCATCGTTCGGTATGAGGTGGCGACAGGCTGGCCTACAGCACTTTGATGTCAGTTGAGCCTATCAGAAACCTTCGGATTTCAATTCATCATATGAACATGATCGATCTAGACTAATCTTTTGAGTGTCAACTAGATCGCATCTAGATGCCAAAAACGTGCATGGAGAAGGCGGGTGAATGGGGAGGGGAAATCAGCTCCAATCTCTTGCAACCGTCCCGACGCAGTTCAAACTGCCATTTGTAACAAGAGGGGGGAGATCGGAGGGCGGGGAGGAAACTGTGTTGGCGAACGGCTTCATGACAGCTATAGGGTGAATGCCTATGTCATCGTGTCCTTTTCAACTATCTCAAGCAATCGTCTTCCTGTCTGATCCCTTCCTCCCCGCTCATCTCTCTCCTTCATTGCGCCCACGGGCTTACCGTGCATGGGGCCTCCGAGTACCCCCACAACCCTCCCATTGCTATCCGAAAACCTTTTAGTACCCCTACAATACTTTGAGAAATTACCGGTGGTATGGCACCCCTACCTACTTCTTATGTACCCCTCGTAACGACTTTCTGGGTGCGAGAATCGAACTAGACAAATATGGACTCTCGACTTAACCGTGTCACTGGCACCCCAGGTCCGCCGGGCCGGGCCCGGCGCCCGGCCGGGCCGGTCCGATGACCGCGGCAGGCTTTCAACTTCAAGTTTTCAAGTTCTTTTTCATGCAATCGGCTCTAGAATCCAGGAAGCCATGGACCCCCAGCCGCGCGATACGTCGTTAGTAAGGCGGCCTTGGACTGAGCGCGTCCTTCCCGTTGCCAGTCCGTGACTGTGAATCGAACTCAGTTGGGACACCGCTCATGATGATGTCACGGCGGTTCACTCGCCGGAGTCGAGCGGCGGCGCCGCCGAGAGTCCGATCACTGAGTGGCCGGCTTTGCCAAGTTGCCAGTATGGCAGTGTTCATCGACGTGACAGGCAACGCTTCAGATTCGGGTCAACTTGGCAAGTTGTTGCAGCGGGTAGGCCCCGGTCTCACACGGCGGGCCGCGCGGCGGCGCGCTCAGCCGCACTGCAGCAGTCACGCCGGTGTTCACGGCGGCGGCAGGGCCAGCCCTAGTACGCGGCACTGTCCGATCCGACCGTCACAGCGGCACTGTCACGCCGGCCCGGGCCGGCGCCCCGCCGGGTACCGTACGTTGAAGCCCGCCCGGCGCGAACAAAATCGGAGGCGCGCTTGGCATCAACATTGAGATCCGGCTGCCCAGACATGGTGGACGGGAGAAGGAAAGCGGGAGGAGGGGAGGAGAAGGGAGCTGTTCAGCGACTCTAATGCCGGTCCTCACTCGTTGAGAAGTATGCCAGAGACATCCCGACCTCCTGAGTCCATAGGCGATGGCAAAGCAGGGCAGCATCTCCTTCGGAACTGCGATCGTCCTCCTGCTCATGGTACCATGCTGCCGTTCAGCCTCGCGGTCTCTGCGGGAAGTTGGCATGCTGTACACGGCCAAGAACCAAGTAATGCCGCTCATTCTAAGAGGAGGGGCCTCCCATGCTGAAGGATGTCGCCTGCCCGGCGGATGGATACAATCGATTGACCCCGAAACCAACCGAACGTGCGTCCCCTGTACTTGGATTTGCCCTGTGATCGATGAAGTTTTCTTATTGCAACCACTGGCAGCTACTACTATGACATGATCTCCTTAGAAAGGTGGCTCCATCCCGCTGCTTCCTTGCATGATCTTGTGCTTTCAGGCAGTGGACGATGCCGTGTGGCTGCGGGCTCCATGAGAGGAAATTGAGTGAAGAAAAGGCTGGAGCCACCAAAGTCACAAGCAACGACGACGTGGACAAAGACGAGGAGAAGGTCGACCAGAGTGTGATGCCGTTAGGAGGAGTGGTGGATTTTAACTCAAAAGACTCTGAGAATTCAGACTTGGAAATCCGCTCAACAGTCGCACGAGTGATGGGGTGCAGACGAGACTTTCATGATGTTCGCACGATTCTCAAAGATAAGGAGCATGTATCCAGCAAGAGAGCGTGTGACCAAAGTTTCTTGGAGATCCAAGCAGGTTTGTTCGACAGTCCATTTTCAAGCTTGAGCTTCACGTAGAAGAAAAGCGTCGGAAGGTCGCGAGCGAAGTCAACACCCGTTTGTCTGGAGGTCCAGTCGAGGAGGAGAGCGAGGTCTAAAATGCTCTTCAAATGTTCATGCTGAAGTAGCGGAAGGCTTCTAAATCAGCCCCGTTCCCTGAATTCACACACGAAACGATCCTGCATGGGCACGGTGGTCCAGTCCTGACCATCACAGGTGGACGAGCTTTCCTGTCTCTTCTCTTCTCATCGACTTGCTGCAGGTCACAAGTCAGATGTCTTCCTCTCAGGCGGTATGGACCATGAGATTCACACGTTCGACCTGAGGTGATAGCGGGCCTGGACATGTTAGACATGCTCAGTAGGTCTTCAGGCGGGTGGATCCGACCAAACTGACGCCGTCTCACTCCTTTGAACCTGCTCCAGGGTGTAGCGTGAAGCAGATTCAAGTGAGGCCCTCAATGCTATGACATATTGTTGATCGTTGTCATAGATTTGTCCTCATCCATCCAACACCTTCCTGCCAGAAGACCTCACCGTGGAAGAAGGGAAGAACGAGATGTTGCTCATCGTGGCTACCTCCTCTCATCAGGCGGCTTTGTTTCGACATGGGCTCAAGAGACGAGCAGGTCCTGAGCTGAGCTGAACCCCCTCTCAGCGACTTAGAATGACAAAGTCTCTACCAGGACGTCCTCTGGTAGACTTCAAGGCAGGAAACCCATACTATGATGTAAGTCAAACTTCTTTCGACCTGCCCGGCTCACGCTCGCATTGCACTCCTGCAGTACATCGAAGACACGGCTGGACATATTGCATCGCTGACTGCAGCCTTCTGGCATCCAAGGAAGTCAGGCTGGTGCTACACTGCGGTGAACCCGAACACATGCTGCTGGTGACTTCTGATCCCAAGATCAGGCAGGAGACGGGACTGTCCGCCTGTGGGACGTGAGGAGTTGTCACGTGGGCGATGTCTCATCCTTTGCTGCCTCACCTGAGCAGCATAAAGTCCCCATTCCCTGTGCCGTCCCCTCGGACGTGGGCGGAGTCCTTGCGATGACTTCGGAAGGGAATATCGTCATGTGGGATGACCGAGTCGGAAAGAGGAATCGCATCCTCACAGACGCTGAGAAGCCAGAAATCACAATCAAGTAGCTTCTGCCCGATGCGTCGGACGCCATCTGAGACTTTCGCTCCTTCCAGGGACGCGCACCTGAATGTTGACGCATCCGGATTGCCATGTGCCTTGGCGTACTTGGATAGGAAGCGGCTGATTGTGAGCCAGGGAGGGGGGATGGACAAGACAGTGAAGGTACAGAAAGAAGGAGAAGGAAGGAGGGAGGAGGGAGGAGGAGGGAGGGAGGGAGACCGGGCAGGGGAGAAGGAGCCAGTGGGGACACTCATCTGAAGTCCAGGTCTGGGATGTTAGGAGAACTGACAAGCCGGTCAAGATCTTTGAGAACGTTGACTGTTCCAGCTTTGGCTCTGCCATCTGCTTCAGCCCCGATGGCAATTTCTTTGCAGTAGGCTCTAGAGTCTTCTCGAGCTCCTCCGCCCGATCCAAGAAGAAGAGGAAGGAGGAGAGGGGTGAGGTCAACATCTTCGACTCCTCAAGGCTTGTCAACCTCCAAAGCCTGCACATCACCAGCGGCCCTGTCGTCTCGCTGTACTGGGATGCAACTTCGAACAACCTCCTCGCCGGCTCCACGGGGGGGAAGATTCACGTCTTGTGCGGCAACACACTTGTTGAGCGAGGAGGGTAGCGCTGACACTGCTGTAGTCACAGGCAGAAGGGAGACGGGGGCATACACACGATCCCTGGGCTACAGCTGCAACCACTGAGCACAGAAGCCTCCCCGGTGACCTTGGTGCCCCTCCTACCTTCTTTTTTTGTGAGATTTGCTGGAACAGTCTGCTCCTGTCCATTTCCAAAACGACTACTCAGGCGTGGACCTCATCGAGCTTCAGCTCATCAAGAGGACGCTGCGGTACGTCCTCCGCTTCCTCTGCCATCGCTGGCACTGCTGACGCTCCGATTGCCCAACAGGGAGGAGAGGGAAGAGGCCATGCCCGGCTCGACAAGATGAGAGGAGGAGCGCTCGGACGTGTGTGCGACGTGAAAAAGAATGTCATGGAGACGTTGCGAGCCATGGTCGATGTTGCATGACATGACGGAATTCATTCCCTGAGCTCGATTCCGACTTGCATAAGTTGCAGAGGAGGGGGGGGGGGAGCTGGAGATGGTGCATAGGAGGACGGAAAGCTCTTAATCCTCGTTAGCATCTCAAAACAGAATCCGACTATCTTCGTCAAGGCTCATCTGACCGCTCTCCACAAATTCCTTCCAGCCCTCGTTGGACTCCTTCTTGTAGGCGAATCGCTAGCAGAGGAGAAGCATCAGCGAGGGAGGAAGGGAAGCATCAGCGAGCGAGGAGGGGAAGCATCAGCGAGGGAGGAGGGGAAGCATCAGCCAGCGAGGAGGGGAAGCATCAGCGAGGGAGGAACAGGCCCGTTGACGTCTCGCACCGTGATCTCAACATGGAACGTCGCACAGGTGACGTCACCCAAGATGCCGAGGAAGTAGTCAGCGTTCCCCTCGGTCAGAGCCTGGAACCTTGTAAGGCCTACACCCTCCTCCAGTGCCAGTCACTTCCAGCTGCGATGGATCGATGGGGATCTTGAGAGGGCGGCAGAGTCCCAGCACGATCGTTGAGTTTTCAGGTCCGAGGAAGGACTGCGAGGGCGTTCAAGGCAGGAGCAGACGATGAAATCCCAGTCACATACCTGCGCCACCTGCGCCACCTGCGCCTGGTCCAGCGCCTCCGGGACTTCGACGCCGTCGACGCTGAGGAGGATGTCGCCGACAAGGATTGAGGGAGTGCTCTACGCCGCGATCAGCGCCGGTTGCATGCGATGTGAGTAGGACAAGGCTCACCACACTAGCTGGGCTGTTGGGTACCACTCCGCTGACTACCTGGGAGTACAGGGAGTTGCCGAGTTAGCTCCTGGTCAGGCATCTGCTGCTCCTTACCATGCATCCTTTCTTGTCGAGCCGCCATATGATCCCACAGCCGAAGAGATCCGGCACTTTCTCCTTCGTCTGCCGGCGGAGGCCCAGGAACACGTCAACCCCGCCTCTGTCGCCTGTGGAGAGGAAGAATGAGCAGCTCCCTGATCAGGGCAAGGCGCTCACTTCTCCTGTTGAAAGCACCCTGTGCTGCTCCCATCAGAGCATTCGCAGAGGTTAATGCTGACGATCTGATCAGGGACCAGGGTCATCAAAATCGTGTTTATGCAGCAATCAAAGTTGACCTGTTATACCGTGAACTTCCCTACGCTTCATCACTCCGATATCTGCCGATACCCACACACCTGCACAAACATGCACCCAATCAGCCCTTGCGCTGGTAGCGGAGTTCAGCATCTCCATGGCTCTACATGCGCATGTGGGAGTTGTTTTTGACGGCTGGGCGAGCTTTCATCAACCCCCATGGCTCCTTCTGGCTCTTTGTGCTCCCTTCTCCTTTCTTAGGGTATCAAACGTCCCCTAACTCTCCCAAAGTACATCCTCTCCCACTCCCTCCCTCCTCTCCCTCCCTCCTCTCCCTCCTCTCCCTCCCTCTCCCTCCTCCCTCTCTCTCCCTCCTCTCCCTCCCTCTCCCTCCCTCTCCCTCCTCCCTCCTCCCTCCCTCCCTCCTCCCTCCCTCCCTCTCCCTCCCTCCCTCTTCCCTCCTCTCCCTCCCTCTCCTTCCCTCCTCTCCCTCCTCCTCCCTACCTCTCCCTCCCTCTCTCTACCTTCCTCCCTCCTTCCTGTCTTTTTCTATCCCGTCAGACGTCAAATCCTCACCCACCCCACCCTCTGACCAGTTTTTCGGAGTTCGCGCTCGGGGCCTCCGACGGATCGGAGAGGGCGGAATGGCCGGGGGAAAGGTTGGCGAGGGCGGGAGTCAATGGCGGCGATGGAAGCAGATGTGAAGACTGACGGAGCTCGGAGCTTCGAGAGTGCATGGCGAACACTGCAGGATGCGAGTACAGGAGAGAGAGAGAGAGCAGGTGCGGATCTTCTTTGAATCTTCTCGAACAATTTATACATCATGTCGTTCTTCCCTTCCCTGCTCTCTCTTCCATGCCGATCACTTGCTTCAGCGAGCGGACTGTTGTGTTCCATGTCATGCGAGCTCGAATGAACTGCGTGTAGTGAGTCAGGGGAGGAATCTTCACACCCCCACCCACCTTCGCCGCATTGCCTCCCACCTTCCTCGACCTTGCTGGGTCCGCGAGGAGCCCCTTCATGGCGCTCACGATCTCATCTGACGCGAATCACATGATCACGAGAGAGGATCGATATACCGAGGTAGCTCTCCCCCCAGCCCGTGTAAGGGTTCGTGGCCCCCTCCGTGGAGCTCACGATGGCCTTCTGTTTCCGCAGAGGAACGCAGGAGGCGGTCGGAGCATCTCCTTGGGGACAGGCGAGCTGGATGAGATCCAAATGCCCTGCAGCCTCGTCTCATCTCAACGTATACGCAGAAGACCGAGAGAAGGGGTTGGGGTTGGCAGGAGAGGATGAGGAGGAGGAGATCAAGGGGGGGGAGAGGGGGGGGGGAGGGATTAGGACTCGTCACCTGTGTTGGCAGAGAGGATGACGGGAACTCCACTTGCCATGGCCTGCACGTCTGTCAGGCACGCTTCTCCCTCCGAGCAGCGTCAGCTTGCCTCCATGGCCACCAGGTTCGTCCCTCCCTCGCATCGGTTCGGGAACACGGCGACGTCAACCCAGTTCCTCAGGACACTTGACAGCTCCTCTGCGCTGCGATGACCTGCTGGGCGTGAGCTGGGGGGAAGGGATTGTCTCCAGCTGGAGTCACCGAGGTCGAAAGAGTCCGATGGAGAGATGCCGTTGAGCGAGAGCCACTTGAGACCTCAGTCAAGGAATGCCGCGCCTCTCCTCTCCTCGCCCTCCCCTCCTTCTCTCTCTTCCCTTCTTAGTTCTCACCTCTGTAAAGTCGTACCTCCCATCCGCCTGTAGCTGCGGCATCCCTTTGGTGTACCCAGGTCCTCCCCCCTCTGCATACCTGCGAAGAAACTCAAAAAGAAAGTTTCCGTTCTCTCCCCGCGTCCCACGCCTCCAACCATTCTTCCGCCTCCGCTTCTCCCATCCTCCCCTCTTTTCCCTCGCCCCTTCTCCTCCTGCCCTCCTCCCTTTCGGTTGCCGCCCGCATAAAGCTCAGCCCTTTCCCATCCTCTCCCTACCAACGAATCGGCCAAGGATTGTGCCAAGCAAACAAGAGGATGGGTCTGGGGTCCAGTTTCTGCGCAAGGAGCTCGCGGAAGGCTGCGGTCACTGTGACAGAATCACGGGCAAAGAGGGGATCAAGCGTGCGCTACCGATGTCCTGCGCTTTGCGAAGTTCGAACTTTCCTCCCGAGAAGACGACGAATCGATCGCGCAGCTTGTAAGGTCTTGCAACCTGCAAGAAGGCCTGCTGCTCCCTTTGTTGCTTTCCTTGCCCCCCTTCGAGCCCGGCCTGCCTGTTTGCTGGATAGAACACGTCTGTGTCTACTCCCTGGCATGACTCAGTTCTTCTTGAGGGAAGAGAGCAGACGGTAGCACCTGGAACATGCGGTGAACGGGTATCTGGATACCAGACTTATTCAGTATCTGAACAACATTCTTCAGAGTTGTTGTAGTTGGCAGGTGTTTTCTGCCAAACCTGAGCATTCCATGTAGACCCAACAATGATTCCATCGAAATTTCGCTCCGCGGCTGAGATCTGGGAATTGTTCAAGCGGAGACTGACATTGAGGCAGCCAAGAATCCAACGAACCAACTCCGGGCTAAAACTGACGCTATCGAAGAAGATGATTCCAAGGTTGGGCCTCCCCACCAGCCGCGGGCGATGGAAGTGCATATGATCGACGGCGTGAATCATCGGAATATCTAACAAACAGAAGGGACAAGACGCTGATCAGGAGGAAGCTACTGCAGATCTGACAGTTACCCGTCTTGGTCCTTGCAAGTTGTCTTCTCCTCATGTCCTCCTGCGCTCTCAGTATCTGTCCGCCATCATCAGTCCCTGACCTCATGCCATGCCATGCCATGCCACACCTTCTTGACCCTCTCATGCTGCGGATACTCCGGGCTCAGTGCACTGGGATGTACCTCTCCGAACAGCAGAGGCTCGCGGCCGTCGCTGCTGAATGAGCATCGAGCGTCACATGTCAAAGGGCATCGCAACCCTCCAAGCTCACATTGAGTCGTTGAAGAGCCCGAACAAGAGGGCAAGGCCCAGGTTTCCCCATCCGATACCAGGGATAAGGGAGATGTTGATTCCGATGTAACCTCTGTGCCTGCAAACTGCATCCCCTTCCTCGTGCGGGGGTCCCTGACCTGGTCCCTGACTCATATCGTGCTTCTGCTCCCCACGCCGCCTTGCAGCCTCGTCTGAAATGGTGCCCGGGCTCCTGGTTGGACCGTTGAGGTCAGGGTTTGATATCCAGTTCTCGCTATCGAAGAAACGCAGCGGGTCCCCAGGAGCTACATGTACATGTCCCTTCAAGAGTCTCCGCAGCGAGAGATCTGTGCACCCTCAGGCTGAGAGCAAAGAAGCAGTAGAAGGAGAAGAAACCTTCGTTGAGAGGGAAAAGAAACTCGTCTTGCTCGATCGGGAAACATGAAAACCATAGAGCTGCGAGCGCGACGATTGAAGTCAAGGCAAACCCCGTGCTGCAATGTTCTATCCAGATGTCAGAGGGACGAGATGACGTCAACTTCCTGCCTCATACCTGATGTCATTCTCCAACTCTATCGAGGTGCATGTACCATACATCATTCATCCCCGAACATGCTTGAGAGGTTTGTTGCTATCGCAGCCAACGGCTCTCCTCTCCCCTCGGTCTACCCAACTTGTGGCATCTTGATCGACAGCATGCAAACAAAGCCGTCTGACATCAGCGAGACGCTCGCCTCCATCTCCTCCCTTCCTTCCCTCTTCATACCATGTTGGATCGGAGGTCTTTGACCTACTGGTGGGGTAGGGGGTACTCTACTTCAAGTCTATACCCTCCATTCTATTACTCCTTTCAGGGGTTCTTCAAATGAAGACATGGTAGGGGTGGGGCCCCACTTTTATTTTCTTCGTTGTCAAACTTGTTGGTTCGGACTTGGTATGGTAGCAGAGCATGGACGAGCAAGATATCAACGAGGAGGACGACGAGGAAAGAGCTCCTCCTCCTCCACTTCCTCCTTGTCCTTGTCCTTGTCCTTGTCCTTGTCCTTGTCCTTGTCCTTGTCCTCCCTCCCTCCCTCCCTCCCTCCCTCCTCATTCTTCTTCCTCAATCTAAGATCTGCTCTCAATCCCTGGCGATGGGTCGGCACCAGACAGCATTGCATGGGATCGCACAGGACTAATCCTGCTCGTACTTGAATCCATGGATGAGGGCAAGTTCAGCTTTCTGGAACTCTCTCCCTAGGTATCTGCTCCACAACGATCAGCGGGAGGGGGGGACGGCAGCCAAGGAGCTCACGATGCATGCACGAGCGACTTGAGGGGGCAAGCAGGCCACTTCTCGAACACCATGACCTATCAGAACTCAGTCGATGCCCATCATACACATCTACTGTCGCTTTGTCTTACCGCTAGCTCTTTCGCTGTCCTCCCCTCGAAGCGCTTGACCGGCGGGACCTTCCTGTCCGCCTGCAAGGCACTCTCAGCTCGCAAGCAGGATCAGGGGAGAATGCGAAAGATACATCGCACGGGATCACGTTCCCCTCAAGGTCACAAACTCGCCCTTGATCGTCCAAGATGCACGAGTAGAACCTTGGTGCTGTCAGTGACAGTAGCTGCCAACGAGTTGCAAGCTCACTCGGCACAGATCCGATGAATGTTCCTGTCGACGCTCACCAGGAAATATCCTGTGAGGGGGAGGAGGATCAAGGACAAGTGCAAGGAAGACACGGCGAGCATCCGAGTGAAGGTTACCTTCAGGCTCCATCTGCATCCTTCGGGTAGATAAGAGCTGTCGGTGCAGGGCATGAGCTGGTTTTAGAACACAATTGTTCACCAACCTGATCCAAGCTTGCTTGTTCAATCTTCATCTCTGCATCGAGAGGCAAGAAGCACGGAACATCAACAGGCCTCGGTTGCTGCAGATGTATGACGCAGAGCGCGAGAGCAGGGAGGTCTACCTTGATCATGTGTGGTTGGCCCGCGACCATGTGCACAACTCTGTCTGCACGGGCTGAGACATGTTGGTTGAGCCATCCCTTCCTTCCCAGTCAGCGGAGGAGGCAGAGTGATCAGGGAGACCTGGCAATCAACGAAGGCCCGGCTCATGGTGTGTTCGGGATGAACTCCGGAACCGATCTCATTCGTCACAAACACCTGACAGTGCTGTGAGAGACCGGCGCCTATGGTTGGGAGCACTGACGAAGGTAACATCCCACTGCGAGACGAGCTTGTCAAACTCTTGTTTCACCTTCTGCAAGGCCTGGGCACAGTCAAGAGGGCAAAGGAGCAGGATGAGTCCTACCAGCTCTGAAGCCTTCGTGTCGCTGCTCACAGTCACGTTCTCATCGTCAGTCTTGGGCATCGAGAAGCTGATCAGACTGTCATCGGGTCTCCGTAACATCAACAACACTTACGCTCCCTCCTCCAGGAAGAAGTTTGTCAACCACAACGTCAGGCAGTCGACCATTACAGCTTTACCGCTGAACTGCTCAGCCTGGAAAGGTATCAACAAGGCGCCTCCAGCAGGAATGTGGATGAAGATCGGAGGTTTACATTCTCACTGAGATTCAGGTTGCATTCTATTGTCTTCCAGTTCGGACCCCGGTCGGCAACGTGCCTGCGCATGCAGGTTAATGCCTGAGATGTGGCATATCAGGATTGAAGCCGCTTACTTTGAGATGCGCTCCTTCATCTCCTTGTCCCAGACCTTAGCAGTCGCTACATATACTGGTTGCTCACAGATCTTCTCACAGAACTTCTGAGCATAGCCTGCGAGCAAATCAGCAACTCTTGCCAGCCATGGCGACGATCCCAGCTCGCGATCATCTCTCAGTCGCGATTAAACGTCCTGTCCTCCTCTCCTCCTCTTGATCCCATCATCTCGTCTCTTCCACTCCTTCCCCCTCCACCTCTCTCCATCTTCTCCTCCTCTTACCGCTCTTCCCGCTTCGCGCTCCTCCTGTCACGAGCACGACTGATGCCATCGTTTGCGTCCCAAGGTGGTTGACCGCGGAATCTGGTAGACCTAGAAGTAACCACAGTACCCGGGAGACCGGAGGCTCTTCCAAGGAACAGCCGCTTGTCAAACCTGAAAGTTGTCAGTTCCAGGATGGGTGGGGTGATCTTACGTACCGGTACTTTCAGAGATGAAATGATAGATAATTAAGGGGTAGTGCTCGTATGTGCCGGGTAGGGCCAGAAGGGTGGGGAAGGACAATGCGGTGGTGGGCGGTCAGGAGTATGTTGGCTGTGGCCGCGTTGGCGGCGTTGGCGTTGACAGGAGCAGCTGACGCTGATGAGACGAAGGGAGGAGGCATGGGAGACGTGCAGGCAGACAGGCAAGGGCGATGGAAACCGTTCTCACAAGTGAGAAGCTTGTTAAGAGGGAAACGATCGGCAAAAAAAGCGGAATCGCAGGCTGGCACGACGGGGACTGAGAGGAGGCTCTTGTCCTCCTCCTGTGGCGAGAACACCTACTACAACGGGACTGAGTGTCTGCCATGTCCTGCCTTCACCTCCGCCCCGGCAGGCAGCACCAACTTGACCGACTGCGTGTGCGTCCCAGGGTACTTCGAGGACGGACAGGGGTGCGTCCCATGCCCTTTTGGAACATACAAGGACGTCACAGACTCCAGCTGCATACCCTGCAGGTCGACTGAACGTTCCCAGTCCTTTAAAGTCGAGCTGACACCATTTCCTTTCCCAGCTCTTGTCCGACTGGCTACTACTCGAACTGCACTGCTATCAAAGACGGGGAGTGCTTGCCGTGCCGCAACGCTCCTTCGCGGGCCGAGTACACGAGCTCGGGGGTGAACAGCACGACTGATGTGGTGAGAGAGGCATGAACATGGTTCAAGGCGCTGACGAGGCATGGCTCGTAGAGCGACAGTGGGTTCAATGTTCCCGGACAGCTGTTAGGGACGGACTTAAGGAGTACTATTTCGCTGACTGTACCGGCGGAGTTTGCGGGGAAGCTTTTCCGGATCGAGGACGAGCTCGTGAACGTAACCCGCGTCCTAGCCAGCTCCTTCGTTGTCCAGCGTGGAGCCTTGTACACGATCATTGCGGAGCATGCCCAGTCCAGTCAGCTGAAGACAGCCTGGGGTTTCAGCTACTCGTGCTTTTCACTCGAGAGGAACGTTGCGATCATTCGCAATGCGACGTGCCAGGCATGAGGGACCTTACGATGCATGCCAAGAGCTGTGACGAGATATGGACAGGTCACGATGAACCTCCCTGACAGCTGTTCCTACGTCTGCAGCGCCTCCACCAGGATGAACGAGGTGGGATGCTCGTGGGTTGTTTCCCGCCGTCTGCTGAACGTTTGCACGGTTGAACAGCTGGGACAGTGCGTCAACTGCACCACTGCTCCTTGTCCCGTCGGTCACTTCAGGTGCTCACGTCCTGGGACGCGGACGACCTCCGTGTTGTGCTGAGCTGTTCCGGCAGGACCGCCTGCAACGAGACTCATGACGGAGTTTGCACCGCCTGCACCAACTCCAAGCCGGAGAACTCTGTTTACAGCTCCCCCGGTGATCCTTGATGATGGGGCTGAGGGTTGTTGCTGGCGGTTTGCTGACTGCCCCCCTCCAGGCATCCCTTACGACTCGTGAGCGCGAATGAGTTTTGGTTTGCTCGTGACCCTCGTGTGCTGATGCTGCAGGAATGCGTGCGGGTGGACGTGTATGAGCGGGTACTACAAGGACGGATCTCAGTGCTCTAGATGTGGCAACTCCCTGGTATGACCAGCGGCCGGCAGGCAGCAGATGGGGGACTGACTGGTGTGACTTGTACAGCCTGACAACGCCAACTACAGCGGACCTGGTGCGTTGCGGTGGCAGAGGAGGGGAGGAGTGAGAGGATGGGGCCAGGAGGACCGGGAGACGGGTGCCCAGTGTGCCCCTGGAGATGTAACGAGTGAGTCGACGGGCAGTGGGAGCGAGGCGCTGACGAGCTCGTCTAGCGGGTACATCCGAGTCAACTCAACGTGCGTTGCGAGGACGACGGCGCAGTCGGGCGACTGTCTCGGGGGAGATCTGCGGGGTGAGAGCGGAGGGGGGGGAGGGTTGCGACTTGATCGTCCTGTAGATGCTTGCAAGAATGCCGAGGGGCTGCCGGCGTCCCCGAGGATGGAGTTCGGACAGAACCACTCGATCGTGATGGTGACAGCGTGAGCGATCCTGGAAAGAGATGGAGCCATGGTGTTCTGACTGTCTTCCCCTCCTTCTCTCCCCCCTCCCCCTCTGCTCCTTGTCCTGCCTCGATCCCACTGCTACCTGTTTTTCCTCTTCCTGCACTTCCTGCACTTACTTCTCCTGCTCCTGCTCCTGCTCCTGCTCCTGCTCCTGCTCCTGCTCCTGCTCCTGCTCCTGCTCCTGCTCCTGCTCCTGCTCCTGCTCCTGCAGATGCCGAATGTGGGAGTATTCCTCCTGCACATCCACAGGGGTACAATGTCATGTGTGCTCAGATGTTCAAGTTGTCAATCAGGTTCCATCCTTCTTGTCTCAACTTCTCTGCACGATGCCTGAATCTCTCCTCCCTTCCTGTCTCCTGTCCTCCTCCCCTCCTCTCCTCTCCCTCCTCCTCCTCCTCCTCCTTTCCTCCTCCTCCTCCTCCTCCTCCTCCTCTCCTCCTCCTCTCCTCCTCCTCTCCTCCTCCTCTCCTCCTCCTCTCCTCCTCCTCTCCTCCTCCTCCTCCTCCTCCGCTGATCCTCTTTTCTTCTCACTGTGATCTCAGAGCGGATGGACTTATCACTGGATGAGCTCCTGTCCTATCGGCGAGTTCAGGTCGCCCTGCTCCAGCTCCTGCGTTCTGGAATATCGCGACACAACTCCAGGGCAGGTTCGTTAACCAATTGAGCCAGCTTCAAAACTTGCCTCCTCCTCCTCCTCCTCCTCCTCCTCCTCCTCCTCCTCCTCCTCCTCCTCCTCCTCGTCCTCCTCCTCCTCCTCCTCCTCCTCCTCGTCCTCCTCCTCCTCCTCCTCCTCCTCCTCTCCTCCTCCTCCTCGTCCTCGTCCTCGTCCTCGTCCTCCTCCTCCTCTTGTCTCCTTTTCCACTCCTTCTTTCTTCCTCATCCTCCTCCTCTCCTCCTCCCCCCTCTCCTCCTTCTTTTCTCCTCCCCCTCCTCTCCTCCTCTTGCCCCCTCCTCCTCCTCCCTTTCTCCTCTTGTTCTCTTCGTCCTGCTCTTCTTCCCTGCCTCTCTCTCCTACTTCGCTCGCCTTTTCTCCTCTCTCTTCCTCCTCTCCTCTTCTTGCTTCTCCTGCTTTACCGCTGTCGCAGTGCGTTCCCTGTACCAACGCGTGCGATACAAACGCGATCTACAACTCGTCGGGAGTGAACGGGTGAGAGAAGGGGGAGGATGTTAGAACAGAAGGACAAGTCAGACCGCAGCAAGCAAGAGAGGAAGGAGGAGTGGGAGGGACGAGGACGAGAGCGAGGCAGGGGTGGGAAAGGGGGAAGGGAAGAAAAATCCCCTTGAGTGAGAAGTTCTTACTGTGTTGCAGTAACGACTGCGACTGGTACTGCGACAACGGAAAGAGCAAACAGTTTGACGCAACGCTCAGTCGATATGTTTGTGTATGATGCTGAGAGGAAAGATGGAGGAAGGGAGAGGAGAGGAGAGGAGGGAGGAGAAAACAAACAGTACCTGACAAGCACTTTTCACTCAGTAGAGAATTCAGAGAAGAGGGAGGAGGTGGATCGTGAGCTTTTGAATGTTTAAATCAGCCTGTTTGACTTGTAGAATCTTATTCATCACACGTTTATTCAATCAATAAAGCAAATGTCCTTTTCTTGCCGCCTTGCCTTCACACTGAAGAATCCGATTCGTCTTCGTTGCAAACCACATCAGCCGTGACGACGAAGTCTCTGCAAACCATGGCAACATGATCGCCAGTCAGCTTGTTGGTTTTGTCACGTTGATCTGTTGTGGGTGTCTTTGAGTGATTGTTTGCTTGTGATTTGGTTTGTGATGTTATTGTCATTGTCATTGTCACTTTTGTTGTTGAGATAGATGATGATGATGTTACTCTTGTTATTGCTGCTGATGATGATGATTATGATGATGATGATGGTAATGATGATGATGGTGTTTGGAACTATCTTGTATTCACCTGGTCTGATCGTCGGAAGGCATGAGAATCATTCCGATCTCCGACGGAGTCTTGTGAATGCTCTTCTGCTAGGAAACGATTGAGGAGGAGGACACAGCAGGTGAAGGAGAGAGGGAGAGAGAGACGAGACAAGGAGAGTATAGAGGGCGGGGAGGGGAAGGGAAGAGGTAGAGAAGGATGAGGATGAGGATGAGGATGAGGATGATAAAGAGGATTATCGAGGAGGAGGAGGAGGAGGAGGAGGAGGAGAATTGGAGGGAGCAGCAGGAGATTGGGAAAGGGTTGAGAG